GATCCCTGCAAGAGCCACACAACTGATGACCCATGTCTCCTGGATAGCTGCAGGGACTATGGTGTTTCTACAGCCTCATCTCATTGAGCTCATTGAGCTCTGACCACACTACCTTCGGCCAGAATGTCTCCTCCTCTTATTACTCCCTTCTCCTCACATCTTTCCTCCTGGCCAATTCTTTCTTACAGGTCATGTCTCAGCTGAAATGTCGCTTCCTCCCTGAGGTTTTCTCTAACCGAGATTCTGAATGTCCACCTCCTGTCATTATTCACTGGTATATCACAATTTGCAGCTGTATATTTATTTATATTTATTTCCTATTACTTCCTCTGTAAGAATAAAAACTCCATGAGATCAAGAACTGGGTCTTTTTTATGACTAGATATTTAATACTTAGTCCAATGCCTAACAATATATATTTGCTGAATGAACACACTTCTGTCCACTTTGGCTTACTCAGCAGTCCTAGCCTGGCAGGGTAGCCACACCCAAGTTGTATCAACACATTCCACGCCTCTTAGACTTGAAAAGATAGGGTCTTCGTAATTAGATCTGGCTCTGACACCCACTACCAAACCCACTGTGTAACTTTGGTCAGGTTGTTTAACTTCAGTCTCCCCAGATAGAAGTCAGAAAATAGTATCTGTCTTATGGTAATATTGTGGAATATTAAGCTCCGATCATGAATACATAGTACTGATCATCAAGGTACTCAATAAAAAGTTGGTTTCCTTTCTTCCATGCCTTCTTATAAACTCCAAACCCAAAAGATACAAATGTGCACACTCCTTTGAGAACATGTGTCCTGCCCTTCTGAGTCTTTCTGATTATGACATTCCCACTGAGAGTTTTGCCTTTAGAGAATGGAATAGTTAGCCATGGAACAGCACTTATGATATTTAAATCACATATATAATTGTAGCTCTCAATAACTGGGGTTTGTATTCTAAGGGCACTTTCCCAAATGTATGTGGAGGTAACACAAAAAGAATAGCATTTTTCACAGCATAGACACTGTACTTTAAAAGAAAACACCAGATGGCAGCACCAGATGCTAGAGATGGGTCTGATGGGATTTTTAGCTCAAATCTAAGCATCTCTGATGCCAAAGGTAGCTTAACACTACAGAGAGAATGCTTTATAGAAATAGATGATTTCCTAAAGAAAAACATGCCTACTTTGTAATATGGTATAGGATTTTCACATCCTATGAGCAAAATTCTAAGAAAATAACTCCAAGCATTATCTACCGAATAAAAGGTAATGAGACAAAGGCTTCATTTTGGTTTGCAGTTACATTTAATAAACTGCCGATCTGTGTTCCCATTAGCCAGAAAAGGCCTGCAGTTGAAGAACGAAATACTATCAGCTTCTAGAAAAGGGCAACATTTTTTTCCAAATATTAAATGCAAGCATTAAAATTTATTCATTCATATGAAAGTAAGGATCAACAATGAGCTCTATTACTGTACACCTCAGCATCGCTTAGGAAAGTGCTTGCTAGGAGAGACAATAGACTTACTAAATAGACTAAAATTCAGTAGATTAAATGCCAATACTAACATTCAAACTGATAATCGATCTGTTTCCATCTTATGCATCCAAATTTTATCTGGGCTTCTCACCACTTTGAAAGTCCTGCTAAAGTAAATACTGCTCATGCAGGCTTTCCGCTGTTTTTGGAGGAAAGAAAGAAAGTGTGATCCTGCTCACGGTACCACGTAAACTGTGGATGCAGCAACCCCAGGTCAGTTCCACCTTTGAAATAAAAATCCCCATCAGGGTTTTATTTCTCTTACATCCTGCTTAGTCTCCTTCCCAGCTTGCCTGTGAGATCAGAAAGGGTAAATTCAGGCCTGTCTTCTGGAAGAGACAATGGACAATTCCAGACCATACTGTGGTTTCGTGGGCGAGGCGGAGCTAAAACAAACTGCCCATGGAAGTCTTGGAGAGGAACTCGTCTCAGAGGCCTTTATTTGCGTTTAGATTTGATTGAAGGGTAACAGGAACCCCTGTGTCATAAGAGAACTGAGCCAGTCTATGTTGAAGGAACATTCCGAGCACAGGGTAATTCACTCTGCCAGAGAAACGGTCACTGTTGCCCAACTGGAACGAATGGTTTTCCCAGCACTACGATGAAGGTTCTGAAAAGATTTTTCCTCACCTGAATTCACTACGAGATTGAGCCCCCTGAGAGCCTCAGGCAAGATCGCAGATTCTGATCTGAAGTCGGCTCAAGGATTCTAGAGGAAAACGGCTTTGATTGACAAGAGAAGAAGAGAAACACACATCTGAATTGTGAAAAGAACGGGCCTGTGTCGTGTCGTAGCCAAAAGTCGGCTGTCACAGGCAGATGAAATCCTGAAATCGAACAGTGCACAAAGCAGTGATCTTTATGGGAAGTGGATTATGTCCCATAACATCTCAACTTTAAATGATACAAGGAAGCTGTACTATCTAAATTTTAAATGACACAGGGAAAGAAAAACAACAATAGAACAGGATCAAATCGTAACCCAAAGAGAAAACCACACTACCCGGGAGAGGTTTCCTGTTGAAAGCACTGTGGAATGGCAAATATCTCTTCTAGGGAAGAAGTAAAGCCCAATGCTCCAAGAGATCTTATGCCTCTCTGAAGCCTACCCATTTTCTCCATTTTAATTAACGCAAGCTTGCTTTAAGTCTGGCAGCTAAAGGGACCCTATGTTGGATGACCTCCCCATGCCCTCCACTAATGCCTGTGTGGTCCCCGAATGGGCCAGCACACATCTGACAGCAATGGGTGCCAGTTTTTCACTGACACGCGCCTTCTCAGGTCTGGGAGCTGGGTGGGTTATGCTGTGACAGAGCCACATCCTCCAGATGCCCTTGTTCTGACGGACTCCCCCTACTTTGATCTAAATGCACGAGTCACCGAGGGCCATCGCTGACCTCTCCTTCTGACATCTCCCCTCCAGATGACTGGGTGAGTCAGGAGGTGTCTTCCTGTGAAGCCGTGGGCCCAGGCCAGCCTCGTTTAGCAGTCGTGACTGACTGAGAACACGCTGTGCTCAGCCTGTTGGCACAGAGTATGTGTTACAACAAGCACAGGATTCCTGACCACACTCTTCCCTATCTTGAGATCTGTACTGAGACCACGGGAAGCAAATGCATACAAGCAGGAAACAGGGCTGCAAATCAGAGAGCTCATGGACTTTCTGAGTTGTGGCCCTGAAACACAGATTCTTGTGTTCTCTGAATCCAGACCCCACACGTTCTGGAAGAAAAGCAACAGCTAGAAGATGGGAAAAACAGATCATGTTTATGAGACCAGCCTGCAGCCCATGCCACACTTAAAGAGCTTGGGTTTTGATTTCGGCACAGAAACTAGCCTTTCTTTCTTCAATGTTCACTGGAAAACTTGCTCGGCATCTCTTAGCCTGACCCTTTGGCTTTAGAATCATTGTCTTGGAAACTTGTAAACCAGTAAGTTTCTAATAATTTCATTTTAAACACGAAAGTTATGGAAAAGTACTAGAAAGTTGCCAATATAATGCAATAAAAAAAAAGTAAGCAAGAAAAGTTGCATTAAAAATAAAGGCTGCCTTCTCCACTCCCCCGCCCCCCAATCCTTCTGGTTGAATCCTTTACGATAGCTTGGGTAACCTCAGTTTCCCCAAACAGTCCATTTAAAGAGTCCCTGCAGGGGCACCTGACTGATTCGGTCAGTAAAGAATGTGACTTTTGATCTCAGGGTCATGAGTTCTAGTCCAAATCTGGGTGTGGAGCCTACTTGAAAAAGAAAAAAAAAAAAAAGAATCCTTGCAGAGGTGGGGTGTTTTAGTACCAAGCCATGGAGAAAAAAATTTTGACCACTTCCTATTTCTCATGATTTGAGATTCTGCAAGGTATGACACAGAACAGTATACCCACTCCTGGGCTTAAGGGCAGCACATGGACCATGCTGTGTGGGGGGCCACACACATTCTTCCCCAATTCCGGCTGACACTGACACTTCAGGTAAACGATACTTCACCATAGAGGTTGGGGGCCCATGGGCTCATGCTTATTCCCAGTTGCCCAAGTGGAGAGCAGAGTCTCGTATCCAACCCAAATACAGCGTACAGAGCATCAATGGGAGCTAAACCCTTCCCAGAACCATGAACCCACACCTCGTTGCTTTGGAGACTCCCCTGGAGTTAATCTCCTACATATTACAATCGTGTAAGTGTTCAAAGAAAAACATGCTGTATTTGAAGAGCACGTCTATTTCTGCAAGTGCTCCAGTGTTTAATTGTTGCTAAAGTCATTTGGGGCATTTGACACAGATTCTATTTTAGCAAGATAAACTCAGCATAACCCCGCATTGCCAAAAATGAATTCCTAAGGTAGATGACTAAAATAAACCGGTCATAAATATGGGCCGTTGGAATGGGGATTATATCTCTGCAATGTAGACACAGCATTAATGACTCATTTTCAAATAACAGTCTCTCCCAAGGATTCTTGGGATGAGGAATCAGGGAAGAAAGACATCCATCTCTCTTTCTTTAGGCAGAGCGGAAAAGGACTATAACCCCACCAGGTGGGGATGTTCTCGCATCTACTTGGCCATCAGAGATACAGCCCCTGGGGTCGGACAGGCTGCACAGAGGCAGAAATAAGTAACGGAAAGAAAACATCTGGGGCGCCTGGGTAGCTCGGTCGGTTGAGCGTCCGACTTCGGCTCAGGTCACGATCTCACGGGTCCGTGAGTTCGAGCCCCGCATCGGGCTCTGTGCTGATCACTCAGAGCCTGGAGCCTGTTTCGGATTCTGTGTCTCCCTCTCTCTCTGCCCCTCCCCTGTTCATGCTCTGTCTCTCTCTGTCTCAAAAATAAATAAATGTTAAAAAAAATTAAAAAAAAAAAAAAAAGAAAACATCCTAGGAGTGGGGCATCCTGGGGATCGTTTTCTCTCCCTACCCTGGAGGCAGAATATACCCCCAGGTCCACTCAATGCATGTCACGTGGCATGAGTTACCTTATCAGTCACAGTGGGCACTGCCATGTTCCTTTGCTGCTTGGAACTTGTGGACTCTTTCAGGCCACCTTTCCTCCCTAAGGTCAAATTCTGAATTTTTGGTGCACTTGGTTGAACCCTACAGCTTCTCTGGTGTACCAGAAGGCGGTCTGGGGCAAAGGTCCGGCCGCAATTTGCACAGGGCACCAGCTGAGCTTGACTTGGCTCCTCTTGGTTGGACTGTCCAGTTGGAAGGGGCTGAGGCTTCCGTGGGAGTGGTCGGCGGAGCTCCCTGGGGAGCCGGTCGTTTTCTATTTGCCACTTTTCTAGGCATTTGGGCTCATGAATAGGAAGGGACAGAGTGCCAAATTCCCTACCACAAATGTAGCAGATGAGAGTCTTTGGTCGGGCTGGGATGCCACCAGCAGCTTTCCTGGCACCAGTCGGATCATCAAAACGGTTGGGGTTTGGTGCTCTGGGCCCCTCATCCTTCGGCTTGCAGCTCCTCTGGTGAACGAGACGACGATCCGGCAAGAATGTGCGGCCACAGGATTCACAGGGCAGCAGCTGAGCCTGGGAACTTTGAAACGCTGCTTCGTTCACGGCCTGAAGATTGTAGGACCCACTGCCCCTGAGAGGCTGTGGTTTGGAGGGTTCTGGCCTCCGCAGGTGTTTGGGCAACTTGCTGTTTTCAATACGCCACTTCTCCAAGCACTGGGGTTCATGAATGGCAATTGATTGGGAGCCAAATTCTCGGCCACAGATATAGCACACCTGGAATCCAGGCCTGCGGGATGGTATCACAGGGGGGCTGTGCGGACTTCCTGACATAATTCTCCTACTGGACCGTTTTGAGAGTATCACTGTTCCAGGTCTTGTCAGAGGTCCTATCTTTATTTTTCCAGCAGGATTGACATGCTCTGTTTCTGGCAAAAGGCTGGAATGGGAGTCACTAGGTAGAACGGCTTGGTCGATAAGGAAGGTGGGTTCTTTAGAATGGTGGAAAGACTGTTGTAATTTGTTGGAAACCCTTTTTTTCTTTCCTGTTTCCATTAACAAGCAAGTCTTTCTCTATGCTCTGATTTCATGCCAGACCCCTTTTGGGATCCTGGTTACAGCGAAGGTTAGTCAGGTTGGCTGTCCTGGGGTTCCACATTGTTGCCAATACCTTAGTCCCAAAGACCGTGACTCAGAGCTTCATTGCAGGGCAGCAGTCTGGAATGCTGGAAAGTCCTCATTAAACCTCAGATGCTTCCAAGATCTGGGGGGAAAACATAAATCAAGAAGTTATTACACACACACACACACACACACACACACACACACATACACAAACACACATCCCCCTTAGATTGTAAGGTGACAAAGAACAGTAATTTTTTTTTTTTTTGGACCTAGTATCCTCTTTGGCTAGCAGAGTAACTGGCAGATAAGATTTGTTCAATACATTTTGAAATAAATTTGAAGAAAATTTCCATTATGAATTTTACTGTATAAAGAAGTGTTCTGTCCAAAGAAAGATCAACAGTTACAGTGTATCACAGACACACAGGGCACACACCCACAGGGGCATGGTGGTGAGACGACGGAAGATAGAACCAGCAACCGCGACAATGAGATTAATGAGGCTGTGGGTAATGTAAAAAGACTTTCTTCCACTCCCTTAGGGATTCACAGCTTTTTAGTGCCATGGATCCTTTTGATAGTTCTCTGAAGCCTATGAACCTCTTCTCAGAATAATCATTTTAAAAGCCAAAAATAAAACTCTTACTATTACCAGTGAAACTAATTTTGTTGAAATAATTTATCAAATATTTTTGGTCATGATAGATGTTATATTCGAGACATAGTAATATGCCAGACTTAATGAGTGCTCATGAGCCTAAAGTTAAGAGCTCCTGCCAAAGTAGTTCAACAGTGAATATTATGAGGATTATCAGGAAAGCCCCCAGAGTGGGCAAACTTCTTATAACCTACCAGGTTTCCACTTTTCTTTATTGTGGGAATGGAATATGGATAAATTGTGGCCATGTATGTCAAGCCAAGAATGCCACCCAGGCCTTTACCGTTCCTGGTAAAATCTCTGTAGATCTCCCCTGTGATGGACAGGTTGAAATTTTGCTTGAAGTTCTTTTTATAGCTGTTGAACTCATTTCCTTGTATTATCCCTATCTCTATCATATCTATATCTATACAGATGGATAATATGGATAATAAAGATTAGATAATACAGATAATATACAATTAGATAAATATCTATTTATATATTATAGTTACATATAATATATTATTATATGTAATATATAATAACCATAATATGGAAGATAGATAATACAGATAATATCTATTATTATATATAAATATACTTTATATTTATATATTATACTATATATTACATTATATGTATAATTTATTACTTTAAATTATTTTAAATTTAATTTAAATTATTTTAATTATCAATATTAATCATTAATTTATTGTTACAAATAACTGTATATGATTATGTGATATATTATAATAGATGTTATCTATCTGTCTTCCAAATAATTTTTATAAAAACATGGCTCATGATTTTCCCAAACATCACGGGCAAAAGGCTAAAGAATTTTTACCTTGGGGAAAAGCATGAGTCAGTTTCACCCAGGGGGAAGATTACTGTCTAAACCCCAGGAAAGATTGCTGTCGGAAGTCTTAGGGCCTTCTGCATTTCTGGAAGGGTGACTCAGGTCTGGCTCTGTGGGTATTACCCACTCCCAACCATGAAGAAAGCAGCAGCTGATCTGAGGCTGGACCCTGTAGACATAGCAGAAGACTGGGTCCACACAGCACAAGGACAACCTTCTGGTCATGTCAAAACAATGGTTGGGAATTGCATTTGCTACGGGACAAAAAAAGCTGGGAGACCTATGCCTAGTTCCTGTATTTTGGTGCCAAGGAAGGTCTGAATCTTTGCACTTAAGACTATCAGATTGGTTCTGGCACAGAAAACGAAGCTATCTGTCATTTGGACAGATCCTCAGACAGTGATATTAACACGTGACAAAAGAATGTGTTGGCCCCAGAGTAGCCAGCACAGAAATGAACCTCAGAGAAACAAAATGTGTCACCTGATTGGCACCATCCAAAAAAGAAAGTGGATCTAAAAAAACACAAGGAGGGGCACCTGGGTGGAGCAGTTGGTTAAGCGTCCGACTTCAGCCAGGTCACGATCTCGCGGTCCGTGGGTTCGAGCCCCGCGTCAGGCTCTGGGCTGATGGCTCAGAGCCTGGAGCCTGTTTCTGATTCTGTGTCTCCCTCTCTCTCTGCCCCTCCCCCGTTCATGCTCTGTCTCTCTCTGTCCCAAAAATAAATAAACGTTGAAAAAAAAATTAAAAAAAAATAAAATAACACAAGGAATGGGGCATCTGGGTGGCTTCGTTGGTCGAGCGTCCAACTTTGGCTCAGGTCATGATCTCTCAGGTCATGATCTCTCATTTCAAGAACTCGAGCCCTGAGTTGGGCTCTGTGCTGACAGCTCAGAGCCTGGAGTCTGCTTCGGATTCTGTGTCTCCTTCTCTCTCTGTTCCTTCCCCACTCATGTTCTCTGTCTCTGTCTCTCTCTTTCAAAAATAAATAAAAATGTTTAAAAAATTAAGAAAAACCCACAAGGAATCTAGTACAATTTTATCGGCTCATGGGGGAAATCACCCCAAACCATTGCTTCGGTTGGTTCCAGTATACAACAAGGACCCCTTGTTTTCATTTTCCATTTTCCTTCATACCTGGAAGTTGCAGACAACAAAAGGACTTGAGGCAGGAAAAATCAATGCAATTAAATAACCTTACTCCCCCTAAACTTGCGCACAATCTCTATCTTTTCTTTCTCTCTCTCTCCCTCCCCCCCACCCCCCACACAGCTCCCAGCCAATCAGAATACTGGGAAGGCCACCTAACTTGCCTCAACAATTCCCGTCTCTTTATGATCAGGTAAAAGAACTAATACTGAACACCAACTAGGCAACAGATAGTGCACTAATTTTTATACACATAATTTCAATCAATTCTCAAATGAGGCAGGTATTGTTTCAGTTTTATAAACCGAAGACCCTGTGACTCAGAAAAGGCAAGTAACTTGCCCAAGACAGTCAGTGTTTAAGTGACAGAACTGGGGACCAACGCCAGCTCCCTTTGGCTCCAGGAGTCGGCTCTTTCCATGATTCACTCTGCTGAACATTCCACCCACTGAGCTTCTTCCCTGTTTTAATATACAATTCATATGTCTAATGGGAAGGTAACTAAGCTTTCACCAGGCTTTATGTTGCCCTTTAGGAGAAGGAAGAGAGAAAAGGGAGACGGTGAAGCCTTGGAGATGGAAAAAGCAGGAGAGAGAGACTGGGGATACTGGGGACAGTATTTTTCCTGAACCAACAGGGGTCATTTTATTTTGCTGGAACTGGCTTTCTCGATGACATTTTCCCCCTGCATGATATGCAATACGGATCTTTTTCCTAATCTCACCAACATCCCTGAGAGAAATCCACATTACCACACAGGCGTGGGGATGGGGGAGGGGTAGTTGGGGGACAGTGAGTGCAGGGGGAAAGCAAAGGCTGCCCCAAGAGGCCAGAGGTGTTCTCTTTGCAGCCACTTCACCATTTTGATTAGGAATGTATCTTTCTGCAAGTGGACATGTTTGCACTGGAGATACTTTGGAGCAAACATGAGAGCATCATCAAATTCCTAACTGTATCTTTCTTTTCTTTTCTTTTCTTTTTTTTTTTTTTTACCATCTCTTTCCTCCCTCAATGTCCTCCTGAAATTTCAGTCTTATTGTGATTAAAGGTATCAAAAAAGGAAAGAGGAGGTAGCTGGAAGCCAGTGAAATTTTGGGGACTGGCGGGGTCAAATGGAGAAACTTAGGAAGTTTCCGTCATTGATTCTGACAAGGTGTAGCATGGCCAGATGCTCTCCCCTATATGTTAGTTCTAAGGGCCAAATGAGTGGAAAATACTAAATGCATATTCTTGAATCACTTAAGAAATTGGCTTGCCATGCAGTCACATCATAAAGCAATGTTGCTAGTTTATAAAGAGAACTACTTTGCAAAGCCAGCCAGCTTTACCCCAAGCAGCCGTGGAGAAATGTTCACTCCAGTTGGTCTGAATTATTCATTTTGACCATATTTGCACATAGGATATTCAAGGAATGTCTTGGAAGGCATCACATTTTATCGATATGATGCCATTTTTCCATGCCCTTTGGGGTTCACAGGAAGGGAGGGACACACTGACAAAGATGAATATAATAACCATGGAAATCCAAACCTATCTTGGCATAAGAAGGTGTTTCCCTATAAAAGAGGGGAAAGAGCACAACCCAAGAATTAAATCTTTTTTTTTTAAGTGTAGTCTTTTGAAACAAAATAAACATAAGTGATGCATAACCCCTTCCCTGTTAGTATAGAATCCAAATTCTTTAAATGTACAAATGAATAAATAAGAAAGATGGAGTTGAGCTGATGCTGGCTCTGAGCAAAATTGTAAAATAGAGGAGGTTTGTCTTTAATATCTTCCATCCACCTCATTCAGCAGGCTCCATTCTCCCCTGCCTGGTGCCCTAAAATGCTTGCCAGTCTTCCTTCCTTTGGAAATCTAGCTTTCAAAAGGGAGCCGATAGACTTATTCACACCAAGGCTTATGACTGATGCGATAATATCCCTCCCACAGTCTGGCAAAGATGACTATTTCCCCACCAGTAGTTATTCTGCCCAACTTCCTCAAATTAAGAGAGCCCCCATTCTTAGCTGAGCACATGATTTCCCAGGTAAGTCTGCAGGTGCCTTTGCAGTATTGTGTAAGACTTGTAAGAACACTTTCTGAAAGGAAGAGACACAACCTTCTCCTCTTCCCTTCCTTTATTCTGATGCTTAAAACACAGAGGTGATGGCTGGAGCACTAGCAGCCATCTTGGACCAGACTACATTCACGTGACCCTTGACATGACAGAGCACAGACATGTATGGACTTGAGTTTCTGGTAAAGGTGGAGCCATCATAAATCTCTTGAGTGTCACCCTTGGTCTTTATTTACATAAGAGAAATAAATGTCTACTTGTATTGTAGCCACTTTTAAATAGTTTTCTACTTGCATGAAATCTATAATTAAAGCCTAATTCTAATGAGGTACAGTTTTATTTTATTTTATTTTATTTTATTTTTTATTATGAAATTTATTGTCAAATTGGCTTCCATACAACACCCAGTGCTCATCCCAACAGGTGCCC